ATATATATCATATTTAGTGATTCAAGATTGAATTATTTAAAGCATTTTAAGATCTAGCTTTGACCGTACAGGGCTCTTATTTATCGGTTGTGTCTCTAATAAATTTACTTTTTTAATAAATTTATTATCTTTAAAATATTATATTATATATTACAATCTCATACTGTATCAAAACTTTTAACTTTTCAATCGATCTTTTATAAACTGAAATATGTGAGAGAGAATTGGGATTGAATTTGTCGATTATAAGTTTATTATTTCTATACATTGAGTTACATATATCATCCCTCAAAATTTATTTTGTATTCAAGATAATATTGCTTTTCTTTTTATGTTCAGGTTCAAGGAGTCAATAGAGTAACTATTCGTAAATCAAAGAATATTCTGTTTGTTATAAACAAGCCAGATGTTTTGAAGAATCCAGCTTCAGATACTTATATAGTATTTGGTGAAGCTAAGGTAATGAACTAACTCTGACTGTGTAATAATAAATAGATCATATTTGTTGAACTCTTTATTTTATGATGATTACTGAAATTTCGCAAATTAACAGAAATTATTTGTTGAAAATACCTTGGCAGACTGATATTTTATTTATTAGTACATAAATATGAATTAATATATATTTTTAATATATGTATTTTATATATTAATATTCTTTATAGATTGAAGATCTCAGTCAACAAGCTCAAGTAGCAGCAGCAGAGAAATTCAAAGAACCACCAGTTATACCAGCAACTGAAGCTGGTGGCAGCACTACGGTAAAATGTTTTATAATTATAGATCAATGTTATATTAGTTATATATTAGTTGGAAATACAATATTAACATATAACAGTATTTAACATAACTTTTTTTTATACTAGGTTGTTGCTCCTATACAAGAAGAATCAGAAGAAGAGGTAGATGAAACAGGCGTGGAAGAAAAAGATGTTGATTTGGTTATGTGTCAAGCTAATGTATCACGAGGGAAAGCTATTAAAGCTCTTAAAAATAATCAGAATGACATCGTCAATGCTATTATGGTAAGTTTTGAATATATATATTTATGTACTTTATAAGTTTAAATATTTGTACATAAGCACATGATGATCTTTCAAGAGTTTCGCTTTTATCAGAATAAAAATTGTGTTGAATATATCTTGGCAGACTGACTCGTTTTCTGTTATCAAACTGTGCTCGACAAACAGTGAATTTATGATTCATTTGTTTATTTTTTATTTCAGGAATTGACAATGTGATAGAGCTGCTTACAAATAGAATATGTGCTGACCGTTCCGAGATTGTAATTTCATTTTACGTACCATCAGAAAGCGTCGTTCTTTTTTATTTCATTGGATTGAAAAAAAGCCATAATATATTGTGAAAAAATTGGCTATATTGATTAATCTTCTGTAATTGTCTTAAAAAATTGAATTCGAATGTATATACGAAATTCGTGTAAAACAAAAGATAAATACATTAAGATCACTGTAAATTTTCTATTTATTATTACATATTAAAAAGGTGTATTAAATTAACATTGCTATTTTTTTATATTTTTGTTTATAGGCCATTTTGATGATATAATTGCATATCAATTCTTAGTATATTTCGATTTGGGGCGATCAAGTGTAATGATTTGCATCAATGAATTGGAAATTAGAAAGAATATTGGATAACATTGTGGTTATATAATAACGAGTTACCATAGATAATATAGAATGAATGATCATCCGTCGATAACTAATTCTCTGAATTCGGTCATGTCGATCGTTATGAAATATATCGATAATAACAGGTATGTAAATTTAAACTATAGAAGAATATGAAATGAAAGATAAAAAATTAATAATGATAAGCATGATATAATTAATTCTATTTCATGATTTTAATTGTAATATTAATTAAGCCAACGCGATATATGTTAAAAAATTTATGAAGATTTTTTCGCATTGTATAACTTTAATGAATTAGTATACGAAATTGATACGAGATGGCAGCACAAGTATCTTGAGAATAAAGTCACTAAATAGATAAAGTACCGCAAATTTGCCTCCATTTTGACGCAAGACGCGGTTATTTTCAAACTTATGTATTTATATGTAGTTTATTTGAGAAAATAAAGCCGTAAAATATGTAAATCGTTGGGCGAGTTCAAGACGGCAAAGCGACTAGGCGTGCTTACCGAGCGATTGAATATGATTGGTTGGATCTATAAGTAACAACCAATTATGTTCATTTGCTTGGCGAGCAGGTTAGCCGCTTTGTCAACTTGACGCGCCCAATTTTTTAATTGCTGTGTGTGTGTGTGTGTGTGTGTGTGTGTGTGTGTGTGTGTGTGTGTGTGTGTGTGTGTGTGTGTGTGTGTGTG